ACCGGGTGGTAACGCGCGTTGCGCTCTGCCTGGGGGCAGCTCCACTCACGGCCTGCGGCCGAGGCGCAGCTCGGGAGAAACTGCTAGTTCAAGAAGCTCGGGAACAGTGTATGGGGAAGGTAATTGTCTTATTCATGATCTTTCAACTGAAATATATCATGCTAAAGCACTTCACACACCAATTACCTTCATTTAAGGGCAGACAATGAGTAGTTAAGGGACCCAATGCACCCATCGAACTTACCACTACTTGTTGCCTTTGCAGCAGATTGAAACCCTGTTTCTTCTCTTCTAATAAGCTATGACCATGTCCTTTCCTTTCCCCACATCTAAAATCACCTTACAAATACCAGTAGGAGTGGTTTGTGCCTGGTGGTACATCTTCTTCTGCATTTAAAAACTATACTGTATGAATATCTTATTAGGAAGTATATTATGAAGTATAAGGCAGGAATTTCCTTTCACCACATCTAAAATCGCCTTACAAATACACCTTACAAATGCCTGGTGGTACATCTTCTGTATGAACTGTATGTTCATATGTATGATTATGTATGTATACTGTATGAATATCTTATTAATTATGAAGTATATTATGAAGTATAAGGCAGGATAGTAATGGATGACTAAATGCAGCTTCAGTTTAGTGTTTCCTACCATTCAACACCACTATTGTGTACAGCAGCTTTATTTCCTTTTGACACCCCATCTTACCTACTTGGCCTTTTCTAAGAAACATGAAGCAGTACTTAAGTGAGGCAAGTCAATTACTTTAACAACCCTCCATTTGACTTGTAAGTAAAACTCATGTCATGATTGAGATATTGGGGTAGATGATACACGAAATCAAAACTCATCTTTGTACTTATGTTTTAGAAGATCTGCATGCAACATGAAAATAGCCAAATCATGTAGAGACTAAAGCCATGCTTCACACCTGTTTCTATTTTGCCAAAATATTCAAGATCTGAACAGAATGTATATGCTTCTGTTGTCACTTGCTTAAATTGCCTACAAAATAAGACTAGGAATAACTTACATGGAAAACAAATTTTCCAAGTTCGCTTTTTCATTTTTCATTAAGGCTTTTAATCATAGTCATCTTGCCTTAAAACACATGTAAGACCAGAAGTGTCTAAGTGTTATCAGGCATACATGAAGGCCATCTTGAGTCTAAGATGCTCAGCCAAAACCTGTAAAGCAAGTAGCTAAGACAGTCCAATATTGCTGCAGAAGCCTCACTGTGACAGGAATGCATTACCCATATCTAATAGAAGAAAACTGGAAGTATTACTTGTCTTCTGTTTTCAGCTGCTTACAGATCCTTCTGTCTCCCCCAAGATTTTTTGCTCTCTCCCTTCTCTAGTTTAACCTGCTGTTCTTTTTGCATCCAGGTTAGTAGATATACTAGGTCATGCAACTTCAGTTTCTTATACAACCATTCTCACAACAATGCAAGGATTTCAGCATTTCCTTTACCACTTTTGTTTAATCTTTCAGACTAAAATATGGGTTACCTTTTTTGTATTCTCTCACAAGGAAAAATATTTTCATCTTTAAACTGTGACCAATTCATATTGAAAAAGCCTCTCTACACTTGAGAAACTTAAACCCTTACAATATTCCTCAACAACCTCAAGTAAATCCTTAAGCTTCAACTGCACATGTTCAAGTAATCAGCAAACAAAGGTGAAGTTATATAATTTTGTAACAGTTTATTTACTAGACCTCAATGTACGATTTTTAATACCTCATTCTGAGGTATGACTATTCTCCATAAATAATAAAGTGCACTATGTTCAACAAGCTAAGCTTTATTTCCTCTTTGCAGCACCTTTGCACAGCATTTTAGATGCAACAGCAGAAAGCTCCACCTATTTCACCCAAGTTCCCTTACTTGTATTTGCACTAGAAGCTCACAAGACATTCCCTTATCTTCTTCAGTTCTGTCTGCACAACTCATGTGAACCCTTTCTGTAGGATTAGGCAATACACTATCTTTGAGACACTGGGTATTGTGTTTTGGTGTGAAGAGTTCAGAGTAGAATGCCATTTCACACAGCTCAATTTCATTTTTTTTTTTTAAAAATCTTTTGTTTGTGAAGAAAGTAAGCAAGGAGTAAATCATTTAATTAAAAACAAGTTTATTCTGCTAAAGTGTTCTTACATTGGAGAGCAGCTCAACAGACCCTTCCAGCTTGCCAGACTCCCAAGTCTGCACAACGAGCACATGCAGAGTTGCCATCCTCCCACCCCACAAGGAGCACATCTTTTTGTCCCTGTCTTAGCCAGGGAGCCAAGTACATGGATTAGGACATGGCTTTCTCTTGGACTGCAGTTATGTGACTGGGGACTGGAACATCCAGCCATCCATAAGCTCCAAGGGTTAAGCACAGTGTTTTTATAACTAGATCATTCTATCACATTTCCCTGATACTCTAATTTGCATTATATACAGCATTCAGATCCACCTTTCACAGAGCCCCTTGAAGTCTTCACTGCATCATGAGTTTATAGTTCACTTAGTTTTCCGTAAAACCAGGAGATTAACTTTGGTTTCTATTACCTGCAATGAAAAAACATACCAAGTTGGTCTTTTTCACTCCTGCACCTATCCCATCTAGTAATTATTTGTCTGCTGGAAGACAAAGGAGAGGGCTGCATTTTCCACATAACAGGCAGGACCAGGATTTCCAATCCTGGAGCATTTCCGATCCTGGAGGGCCCTCTCAAATACAAGCCTGTTGCCATCTACATCATTACTCTTTACTCTTACACCTATAGCAGCACAAGCACCTGAAAGACAGCAACTAAAAAAAAAAAGTCATCTCAGAAGGCTCAAACCCAAGCTGAATCACTTGCATGTCTACACTTGAACACCCTGGCGTGCTAGCTGCATGTGGCAGGGGGCTTCCTGAAATGAAGTAAGCTCTGAGTGATGCACAGCAGCAGGACCATGCTCACACCTTGCAAGATGACACAGGACAGTTCATTCTTTGTAACCTGCTGCCTGCTATCTAACACACTTTATTACCTCACCTGACATAGGCCCCGCTCATCTGAGGATGGTAAAACAGACTAGGAAGCCCAAGGGGCAACACTGTGTCCAAGGTAGAGGTAGCCTTCCCCTGCCATGGAACACACAGGAGAAGGCATCTCCTCTTCTTGCCCCAAGTCAGGCAGACACTACATAGAACTAACCACAGTTACTGAAATCTTCAAGCTTACCTTCTTTAAGGGGGGTTTTGGGAGGAATATTTTCCTTGCTGTCATGCTGGAAAGCTTTAGAGCGATCAAACCTTCTAATGCCCTGAACTGCATGAAGCTGCTCCTGAAGATCTCTACTTGTTTGCTTCTCTTTTGCTAGTAGCGCACGCAGTTTTGAGACATCCTAATGGGGAAAGACATGCTTCAGAGGTCAAAATAATAACAGGAGGAAAGCATGCTGCATTATTTCTTCTAGCAATACTCTGAAGGACTAATTAATGCACACCTATATATTTTTAAGTCAAGACAGTTAACACTATGGTATAAGCCCACTAGGCAGTACAGTAGCTTGAAGTAGCCAATACCTATGTAGTGCTTTCAGCAGACAGCTTGGAAAGCCTGGAATCCCCAAACAAGTCAGAAAAAAAGCCAGGCTAAATGCAGGACTAGTTTGCACCTATGATCTTCTATGTCATCTACCTCGCACAAGCTGAGAGGATTTTGTTTCTAGAGACATAAACCCACTGCTCCTTGTAATCTAGTACTGCCAAAGAAAATACCTATATCTATCATGTAATTCAGACACAGTAAGGACAAATTCCCCACACAAGGGCAAAACAGTCTGTAAATACTTAGAAAAATGATGAAGAGCATCAATAGGTTCCAAATTACTGACAATTTAACAAACCTGTTTCAGGTGTGTATTTTCCTCCTTCAGTTTCATGACATGCTTGATTTTTTGCTTCTGGTTCTGATGGCCAAGCAGTTTAGCATAGGCATCACTCAGTTTATTCAGTTCTTCTTGAGCTGCACCATGCTCATTTAAGAGAGCATTTTTCTCTGCTTCAAATGCATCTAATTGTTGCTGGAAAATAAGTTACATAATTTAAAATCTTTGGGTAGTATAAAATACTGAACTAAGTTTTCAATTGGTTTGGAAAGAATAGCTGCTGAATGGGTAGTGGCTTCAGAAGCCACTGCATGGTAAATGCCTTAGAGCAGAGAGCATGTTGACTTGGCCAGTACTTCTTGAGAAGCATTTCAGTCAGCTGCACATAACAGACAATAACAAGCAGGCCATTTTTGACACACCTGAAAAGGCTTGGTTTTGTTATGCAAATCTTCATAAAGAGTCCGCCAGGTCTTTATCTCTTCTCTTAAGCTGGAGTTCACATCTTCATTTGTGTTTTTCCTAAAACGCAGGACAGTTTCCTTACCTACATATGGTAGAAAGCTCAGGGCATTTCTTCCCTGTCCAACTTCTGCACCATGGTACACAAGTTAGAGCCAAGTTACCTGTATCTTTCCTCTTCAAGATTTTTCAGGTCTTCAGCTTGTGCTTCCAGCTTTTCCTGAAGTTTAGTCATTTCTGCCAGATAACACTCCTTGGTTCTCTCCATTTCTGTTTCTTTCAGTGCCAGCTTTGTCTGGGCTTCTAAAAGCATCCTGAGGAAAAAATCACTGATCTTGAGTTGACCTCTAAGTTATTTTCTGATTCCATATCAGATTCTATACCGGAAAAGCACTCATATTTGAACTGCTGTTAGAAAAACCAACTAAAATAGCTTCCAACTTTATTAACTGCTTAATCCTATTAGCTTTTCATTAGAGACATTTCATCTGACTTCTTCATGCAAATGAGGCAAGGTTTTAAATACTTAAGTGTAAGAAGCTGGTTCTAGGCAGAATCATTTGTGGAATATGAGTTCCAGAGTTCAGACATTTCATATTCAAGTGTTACCTTCCCTCTCCTCCTTCAAGTAACTTCAACTATTTGTTTTATCATCATGGAGACAAAGCATGTTCCCCTGCCATTCCCAAGAATCAGCAAGTCCAAGGAGATAAATCCTGCTGTTCTTATCAGCTCCAGTGGGAAACTGAGGCCACAGTGAACAAGTAGGGAGCAACAAAACAGCAATATGGTGACTAGTGTTTTAGACACACTCAGGTAAGCTGTAATTGTGGATAACCCTAAACTATTAGCCAAAGCTAAAAAGCCATTTTGTTATCAAAACATTTTGTGAACCATAGGTATACCCAGCCAAGCCAAATACTCAATTCAGATGGGAAAAACAAGTTTTTTTTTTTTTTTTTTTCTTTTTATGAATGCCTTCAACTCCGCAGTGGCAATGAGAGGAAATATTAACTTCCAAGTGCTGATTTTATTTGACAGAGCACCATGTAGAGCTGCAGATAAGAGGGCAAGCCTCAGCTTCACCAAGTTTGTGGACCCCATACCTCGCACATTCTTCTTTTGCTTTGCTTCCAGTGTATTCTGCTTCCTGAAGTAACTGTAAAGTATCTTCGCCTACTTTTTTCTGGCTGGCAACCTCTCCTTTCAGGGAGGTATTCTCCCATTTAAGACTGGCTATTTCCTCAGATGTTGTTTTTTTGTAACTGGAATAAGAAAAGTTAGAACTTGAAACACCAAACAGACCAACAGCTTCAGGCCTTAGGAGAGCCACACAAGCATCCAAGATTTTTGTTAAGTTTGCCAGAATAAGAAATTCATTTCCATAAAATCATAAGAAGCTACACTAAAATATAATACTCTATTTTCACTTTATAACCATCTATATCTGAAGCCTGGATCAGAAGATACCCTCTTCGACCCCTTGGGAGGGCTTTTGCACACTTGCAAGAATTAATAACACTAACATATTATTCCAGCCTGCATCTTGGTAAGGGAGGTGTGCAGTAATTCCCTCCCCGCAGGCATCTGCCAGCAGACCACCAAGATGATGCCTAGTAGCATTACAGCTCAAATCCTTCCAAGTGGCTGTACACAACACGCTCAGTTGTTTTGCACACTATCAGGGAGAAGACGCACTCCACACTAAAGTTATTTTCAACAACTTCAGGAAAATAACTTTAATGCACTGCAAGTTCTGAGTGTGAGCAGAAAATTATTTTGAAAAAGCCTTTAGCACACAAAACATGACAACCAGTTACAATTAAAGTTCAAAAGAGGTTAATATTGTACTTGGTTACAGTTTGGAGGAGGAAACATCCAGCTCCCTGAGCAGCTCACTGTGCTGGCCTATCGTGCAGGAGCTCCAAGAGTGAGGCAATGACCATGTAGTGCTAAGTAGTAAGGCACACGCCTGAACAATATCTTGATTTAATAAAAAACTGATTCTAGATCTTAGTGGAATTGAATACCTTTCAAATTCAGCAATAGTCTTTCCAAGCTTATGCAGTGTGTTGCTGTGCTCTTCCTGGATTTGCAAGATAGCTTTCCTGTGCATTTCTCCAAGTTGCTCCAAATCATCATTCTTCCTGAAACACAAGTCAGCATTCTATATTGGACGCAAGTAAGCCTGAACAAATGCAGTCCTGTTAGCAGTTACTGTGTTTAAGGTTTGCTGTGGCTGCAGTACATGAATTTTGACACAAATCAGCAAGTGCCCTACCGCAGCTTTTCAGGCATTCAAATGCTATCTTCACATGAAATTTAAATATTCCTTTCCACTTAATTCCCCAAAAGAACTGTAGAAAAGTTTTTTAGTACTTGCTAAAAATCTTTCATGAAGTGACAAAGGAATAACAGCTTCCTTAAAAATACTGATGCAGCCTTCTCTAGTGAGTGCCCTCTCCACAATGGGAACATTCAATACGACACCGATGTAGCTGACCCTTAGGAGTAACAGGCTCAATCTACTGGTACTATCATAATACCCTATCTCAGTAAGCTCAATTAAGCAGTTTCATATTAAAACAATTTTCAACAGATGATTCAAAATGACTCAAAAGAATTCCATCCCATTTTATGAGTTAGCAACCAGCAAGAAAAATTTCTCTCTGTTCAGGTCGCTTAAAAGTCCTATTTAGGCTTAACACCTTTTTCCATATCTTTAACCTTTTGGTAAAAGCTCTAGAATCAGGCAGTTTGTTTTTACAAACCCTTTCAATTTTGCTTCCATTTGAGCAATCTCAGAAGCTTGAGATTTGGTTTCATGTTCCAACTGCTTCACCAGCTTCTCAGCTTTCTTCTCCTTTGCATGCAACTTATCCAGCTCATCCATGGCCCCTTTCAGCTCTTTTTCGAGGAAAAGCCTCTCCTTTGTTACCTCTTCTTGAAAATCTAGTAACTTCTGGTGCATCGATGCAGAGGATTCCTGCAGATCCAAGTTGAGGATTTTTTAACTACTGGTACTTAGCTCTAATCTCCATGCATATATTCAAGGCAAGCTTACAGCACTTAAAAGTTTAAGTTACACAAGTTAAGTGTAATGTAACTAAAGTAAAACAACATTTGATAAGAATTACAGCTCTGCTCTGACAAGACATTAATTAGAGCATGCAATTTCTGCCAGTAGTAGCCGTTTTTACCTCCCATAGTTTAGACAGTTAATGCAGCAGTCTATGTAATCCAAATTAGAATCTTTTGTGCTTGTCATTAAACAAGTCAAAAACATTCTAGTTGCAGAGTTATTTACCCTTTCTTCTTGCAGCTGAGAGAGAAGATCCTCTTGTTTCTTAAGCAAGTTTTGGTGCTCTTGCTCTTCTAAGAGAATTTTTTTTTTCAGGTCTTCTATTTCAGCTGTCATACTCTGGTATTTCTCCCTGCTCTCAGAAGACTCTTTCTCTGTGTAGGCAAGTTGCCAGTGTTACAGACTCTAACATCTCTATCTTTAGAGAACTAAACACATTCATCATAATACTTACATTCCAGCTCTAAAACTCATTAGACAAGGGAAAAGACCTTTCCCCCACCTCAGAAGTGGCTGAAACTTGAGATTAATATTTATGACAGCTATTTTAGCCACTTAGCCTTCTTTAGATCAGCAGTCTAGGCGGGGAAAATAAATCAATACAACAGAAAAAATTATTCTACCTAATACTATCACCAGGCAGCCAAGTGGTATACTGAGAGCTGAGTACTAGTGCTAGGCTGCCTTTTTTATTTCTGTGAGGGTTCATGTGGAAAGGTCACAGAGGTCAAAGTGTTTCTAGGCACATTCCCAACCCCTCAATTTTAACATGTACCCTAACAAACTGAAGCCACTTAGTGCTGCCTGTCAGTGATGTGTGAAGTATACATCAGGCAACTTGGAGAATAGCACATCTTATCAGGTAAACAATTTTTATTTCCATAAAACCCACCTTAGCAACCCTCTGCAGATAGCTGGTTTTTGACTTAAAAGGTCACATTCCACTTAATCTCCATACTGGTAAATACATGCTGGGCTCTTTTCAACCAGAAATTAAACACAACACTCAAACTAGCCTGCATAAATATCTTAAAGCCAACCTATCTGAAAGGTTTTTAAGTAACTGAGATGTGCAAGTGCTTCTCGGCTATACCAACAGTATACAAGTGCTAGCAAATACCTTTTTCCTGTTCAAGCAGCTGACACCTTTCATTAAGTTCTCTCATCAGTTTAAATGACTCTTCTTCCTTGCTTTTAAGAGAAGCCCTCAGGATCCCCATGTCTTCATCTTTCTTTATCAGCATCTCTTCCATCTGGGCAAGATCCAGTTTGTATTTTTCTGCTGTTTCTGCAACACTACTGTAGTAGGAAATTCAATTGTTATCATTAGATTTGGTTTGTGAATTTATACTTGACTACCGAAGGAGAAATAGCTTTGATCAAGGGGCCAAATAGGTTTGCCTTGTGAGCAAATTGAGCAGGGAGTCAACCTTGATTTACTTCCTCAAAACCAGTTATTGCACATGAAAACTAACTACTTGTAATTAAGTGTGATTTATTTCAATATCAACAGGTATTTCAGAGAAATTAGTTACATTCTAGGACTATCCTACTCTTCCACTATATTGCATAGCTCAGAGAAGCACAGACATTTGGAAAAGTAAGGGTCTTAAAACTCCTTTCCATTATCTGTACGAAAAGTAAACAAACACCAAAACACCCAGCTTTGCCCCCCTCCAGTCCAATAAAGTTACCCAACTGCTGCCTCGGTTCTATATACAGCCATCACCAGGGCGTAATCTCCCAGTCTTTTAACTCACCCAATCCTTTCCAAGAAAGGTGTTCTGGTTACCTGAGCTCTGTGATATATTCTAGGAGCTTTTCAGTATCAGACTTTTCTTCAATCTTTTCTTTCTCAGTAGCACATCTAAAAACAGAGAGTTTCATGAGTGTTTAAACACAGAAGAACTGAAAGCTGTTTGATTGCAGATAGGATGACATCCTTGCATCACAAGTTACAGACACTTAGCATATGCTCTCCATAATCCACTTGGTCTGACAAACTCCCAGCGAGTGTGAGGAACCACCTCCCCTGTTTTATGGCTTGTTGCACATCATCTTCTCATTTTTACCAAAGATGCTGAGCCATGTGTTACCATCAAGTGTGCTGGAGGGGCTACATACATTAAGCAACTTGCCTTTGATAATTGTACCATACACATTCATACATTGTGAGCTTGGTATATTTTCTGTTTAATATGGGTAATAAAATGCCTGCTCATATTTGAGCACTTCTAAAGGACACTGCAGTTCATCTTCTAAAACACAACATAGCTCCTATGCCACAACCCCAAAGGCATCACAACTGCCCTTTAATACTCTTACTTAGAGAGCAATGCCTTTTACATGACCTCTGTCAAATGCTTGTGTTCTGAATTAGCATCTCTGCTCCAGGTCTAATACTTCATCATTCTTAATTGTTCCTAACTTGTCTAGTCTAATTGGACTAGACAAGCATTAATGTACAGATGTGTCTTGCAACCTTTTTCAACAAGACTATTTCCCTTTCTTACCCTAGACCAAAATAAAAGACACCCAAGCCAAATCACACTGGAAGGAAGATTCCTGACTTTTTTTAATTAAGAGGAACAAGCCATTTCATGTTATGGCTATAAAAATGCAACAATTCCCAAAACCCTTTGCCCTAGAAACTCTTCCAGGTCACGTACACAAATAACCACTCCCTTTCAATAGAGGAATAGCCTTTATTTTCTCTGAGGTAAATATGTACTGTTAAGCACTGATACACTGCACATATCAGTGTTGAGCACAGCTGGCAGATACAACACCTAGGACAACTCCCTTCCTGATTACTTACAATTTTTCTTCTAACTGTGCTACTTTTCCTTTTGAATGTTCTAGATTCCTCTGTATTTCCTGCAGCTTCATTTCCATATCTTCCTGCTTTGCAAGAGCAGTCTAAAAAAGAAAACCAATAAAAAAATCAGCAGCCAAGTATTGCCACCAAAAACAGATCTGTTCAAGAAATTAAGATTCTACGAGACAGGGGTAAATGGATAGTAGCCTGTGCAGTAAGGAGGATCCTACCTTTTCCTTGGCATCTCTCTTGTTTCTGAGTTTCATTAACTCCAAGCATAGGCTGCTCATTTTCTTCTGCATGCCATCCTCAGACAGCTTATTGGAAATGAAGACAACAAGTGAACCTAACCCGTTCATTTGAATTATTTTTCCAGAACCACTTCATTTATTGTAACCCTTTGTCAGCACCACTAATCTCCATGTGCCCTTAAGATACACATTTGCAGGCCCAGCTTCATCTTTAGACAGACATGCACAAAGAGCTAAAAGTGAGATCCTCTGCCCCCGAGTAGTGAAGGGGCAAGTGTGAAAACAGACCCTGATTCATACTGCCAATAGCTACAGGTGATTGCAGAATATAGTCAATAATTGCAGAGTCACAGCATAAAGGGGCTCAGTACCTTTGATTTTAATAATTCATTGGTTCTTGTTAGTTCAAGAAGCTGTTTTCTCAGGCATGCTACATTTGCCAAAAGAGATGTTTTCTCTTGCACTGCAGCAGTCAACTTGGCTTCAGTCTTGGCAAAATCTTCATCCAAAGCCTGAAGTTTTTTATCCTGTTCTCCACGCTCCCTCACTAAAGCACGGATCTGAAACAAAATTACTATTTACAAGGAATGACAGGCAAAAATTACCAAAATATTAAACCTTTTCTGTATTCCTGTAAAGGCTGAGTACAAAGAGCTTTAACTTTTGTCATTTAGAACTTTATTCTGTCATTCATGCGAAAAGAAGGAAGAGAATTACTGTCATTCTGAGCCACTGCAAGATATTCCAAAGCTTGAACCTGCAGCAGAACTCAACTTTCCTCTCTAGTGAGGAAATTAAATGGAACTTGACATCTGAGCAATGTGAAGCAGACATGGTACCAGAACCAAGGAGTGCTAACTGCTTTAAACTTTAATATTAAGTCACTTAATAAAAAGACCTCAGTAGAAGTTTTTTAATAAAACCAGTATTCTATAAAGTTGCATAAAACCCTCCTGAAATATAGGCCCATCCTTTCTTCTTTAAGGGATGAGCTGCAGGGCTGCTCAGGGTCAGTAAGAAGGCATGTAAATCTGTTCCATTAACCAACACAATTCTTCCTACCCAATACAATATTTGAGAACCTCTGCTCTGCACAGAACTGTTTGTCAACAACTTCTGTCTTATATTGAAGAGGCAGATTCTGCCAGCTTGTAGTCTTCATTACAGGAGAATTGTGCTCACACAATGTTTTCTTACCTCCTTCTCCAGTGTCTTCTGCTTCTTTTTCTCTTTCATAAGCATATGATCTCTTCTGGGCTTGGAACTCCCACTGGCTGGCTTTTGGGAACATAACCATTACAATCATTTAAATGATCCTTACAGCTGACTCTAAGAAGTCAGAATAAGGGATTTTACTAGGCTCTAAAGTACTAAGCATCACAAATTAAAGCACTCCCCATATGCCTGCTTAATTAATACTGTGAAATAGGAAAGTAAACGCCATCATATACCAGCTCTATTTAATAGTAACTCTAAAAAGAGACTATGGGCTCTTAACTAGAGACGCTAACAATCAGACACAAAGTTAGGCTTAGCTGGAGTTAATAGTATTAGAGACAGCACAGTAGGAAGTCTTACTATTGATTCAAGAGATCGAAGTCTCCTTCCCATTAGAGGAGTAGACATATTCTTCTCATTGCTCAGGTTTGTTGCAACTGAAAAGTAATGCAAACAAGCAAGGTGTAGGAAGAGGGTGTGCACATGGTGTGTGATCAAAGAATTCTCACCCAACTCAGAAAGAGCTTGGATACAAGAGAGGTTGCTATTTTATTATTATACTACTTATCTCACAACCCAGGGCTAGTTATTGCATGGAATGCTTGTCTCTGGAAAAAAAAAACTTAAAGCACAAAATGCTTTTTACAACTGCTAGGCATATTATCTGAAAGGCAGCTTATCAGTCCCCACCAAGAGAAAACAACAGCTGAAAACAGCAGGAGCATGTGAGCACCTACACTGGTAGGTGTCAGAGACATTCCCTGCTGCATTTTGGTAGCAGCTTTTAGCACTACTTACTCGTCTGCCTCCTAACCCGTCCATGAGTCTCAGACACCAAGGAACCTCTTGCTGTATCTGAAGATTTGACATCGCAGGATCCTGGCAGCAGAAGACACAGAACAAACAGATTATTCAAACTGAGTAAGAACTAATAATAATAATAATAATAAAAAAATAGAGCTAAACCTAACACACCTGAACCACACTTTCTTTAAAAAACACAAAAAGAACCTCCAGAACAACCATAGTCCCGCTCTTGCTCTGTTAATAGGAAGAAAACTGTGCAAGCACAAGATGGGTGAAAGCTAAAGACTTGTGCAAACCTGAAGAGTTCATTGCCAGCTAGTGAACATGGCTTTTCAGGGGATGCACCAAGGCAAGTCTTAAATTGTGCTTCACATGCCAAATACTTCAGACCTATTTCAATTTTTTTCCCGCTTGGAAAAACACTTTAGATACTAAAATACTCCAACCTTGTCTTCTTGAGAGAAAAAAAAAGGAAAGACAAAAGCAACCTGACTACAGACTCTTTCAATACCTATAGCTAAGCAGCCTCAAGCCCAGTAAACACCCCCTGCGTGGGGCCACTTTGAAACTAACAGCAAAGGGAAGAGAGCAGCCTGGTTTAACTTGGCTCAGAGACCAGGCAAAAAGAAGAAAGAAGCAAGCGGCCACGGCTGAAAACGCATAAGAAGCGTTCTCAGGAACTGCGCTCCACCCCAGAGATTAGCACCTAGTTTTTGGCTTTGCACGGCGACTTCCCTCCGAGAGCGTTCGCCCGCTGCCCCAGCGACAGCCCCCGCGCTTGGCGAGAGCGGAGGAGCAGAAAGCGGAGGACACGCGCAGCCGCCCCGCACGCACCGGCCGTGTCGTTGAAGCGGCGCAGCGGGGCCCGCGCGAACGCCATGGTCACCAGCAGCGCCCGCCGCCTCCGCTCCCCGCGTTCAAATGG